AAGAACACACTTAGCATTTCTCAAACTGAAAGAACAGAACAAAAAATTCAAGCCTCAACTTTAAATATTGAAGGATTCTATGGGTAAAATGTTGAATGACATAGAAAGCATCAAATGATGATGGAAGGAATACACAGAGCCACTATATCAAAAACAAATAGTCAATCAATGCTCAACCATTTCAAGAGGTAGCATATGACCAAGAGCCAATTATACTGAAGGAATTTTTTTCAACTCTTTCAGCTTGAGAAATACTAAGAGTGTCCTTGTTTTCTAACTTTAAGCCTCTGCACATTTCGTTAAAATATAAAAATGTATTTTGTTTAGTTATCACTATTTTGTGGTGAAGTATAAAGTTTTCATTTTGACTTAATACAGTTTCTCTCATTTTCACCCATCAGATTGTACACCCTAATCATATAAATATGGGCACATTATACTAGAAGGTAAACAGCCCTGTTGTTGTGTTAATTAAATGTTTGGAATTATGATCCCAAAAAATCTAATAATTAAATTAGATCTGTGTTATGAGCCTACCAGCTGCTATACAGGAGAAAGATATGGCTGTCTGCTGCTAAAAAGATATGAAGCCTTGTAACACCAATGAGGGAGTTCCACTCTGTCCTAATGACTAACTAGGAGTTGGAATCTACTCAATGCAATGAGTTTGGTTTTTATACTACAAGACAACCATTCCAGGGTTCAGAGTCAGTAAACTCCAAGAAAATTAGCTGTCCATTTCACAATTCCATATTCTATAGGGCTAATCAGAGAAAAATTACAACTCACCCAGTTTGGGAGTCATGTTGCCAACAACAGTGAATTCGGGTATTTCTAATCCAGGAGCATATCCAGCAGTCCAGGCAACCGAGAGAGGGCCATAGGTGCCTCTCCTAGAAATCACAACACGACTGATTCCAGCAGTAATGTCCATTAGTTGAAAAGCAGTAGATTCAAATCCAACCTAAGGAAAAACATGCTTTGAATATAATTTTTCTCTAATGTTTTCTATTTTCTCAAGAAGAGGTTTAATCTCAACTTTTTGTTTTCTCAAACTATAGTTGCTAACCTTTTCTAACTTTTTGTTGTGAATTGAGTTAAGGTTTACAAAGCAGAGCATCAATTTCAAATTCAACAAATTGCAGACTTTGTTTCATTTCAATGATTACAAGCCCCTCAGTGTAACACCAGTTATCCCACTTCCTGCCTGTATTACTTGTTTCCTCCTTCTTTCTCTTATCCTTTCTCTTACCCTTTTGATCTTAAATGACCAACCATTCTTTGGTATGCCTGCTCCACTACCACCCCTATATACCTATCTACTCCTTGGCTGAAAATTGAGCTACAGGGTGAGTTCAGTTACAGATGTAAAGAGTGACCAAAGGCCATAGTCTCAGTTCTTCCAGGATTTTTCTGACCATTATGA